CATGCATGCTACAGAGCAAGTTAGGTTTGCAGCACAAGTTACCATGGCAATATAAGATGTAAACTGCCTTCCTAGTACAGAAAAACTAATGGTTAACCCTGAAGTTACCTGGATAAGCCCAAATCCTGCTTCATAAAACAGGCTTCTGATGGCGTCCTTTCAATTGCTGTGGTTTGTTTTATTTAAGAAGGGCCTGCCATATTTTAATATGAATATTCTATGAATATGAATAAGAATAACACGAAGAGGAAGTGTACAAAGTACACAAAAAAGTAATAAAGCATTAAAAAACGACATATGCAGAGACAAATAACAGAATGACAAAACCATTACTACAAATTTTAAAAGCCTTACTACACATTTTTAATATATAGATTTAAATGACTAAAGCAATATGTGGTTAACACGGATTTATTATTACTAATTTACAACTCCCTCCTTACTAATAATTACTAATAACTGGTATCGCTCCTTAAAAATGTCATATAGGTGTATTGATTGCCGTGTGCAGGCTGCAAATCTGTGTGTGGACTGTGATTATTAAATGCGTTTGCTCTAGTGCACATGCTACCATCGTTGTTTGTTCTGTATGTTATTCTAGCATTAATCCTGGAACGACAGATTGCATCAAGTCATGCGAAAAGTTCCCATCCATGACATCTCCAAATGCTAACAGACTACCGTTAGGTTAGCTGAATTTAGCACCCGGGAACAGTTTACTGTGAAGGTGAAGCCAGACATCGGTCTACTTCCTGGAGCACAGCAACTCGCCAGTTCTATCCGGGGACAACCGAAACATTAATTTGCACAACATACTAAGTCAGACGTGGCTAACTAATTTAAAGTGACTGGCACAAACTAATAAAAGAAACAAACAGACCCAAGTAAAAAGCACGAACTCACCAGCATTTAGACTACACCGGAACGCTAGCGTCCCAACGTTAGCAGACAATGTCGATTATCACTTATTCTTTAGTGGCAACTTAATTACGGTGAATTTTACCATTAGCTGTTCAATTTGCATGCACTGCAGTCTTCCCAACCCTGTACACTGGGGAATTAATCACTAGCTGTACTTGTTTTCCCCCGGGCATAAAGTTTCCCGTTCCAGAGATTAGTCGGGACCAGCAGCCATTGGAGTAGGTATTGAAATGGCAGCGTGTGAAAGCATCTCACTTCTGCTGCATTCAGCTGCAAAGCTGATTGCAAAACAAAAACCCGAAACACAACAAAATCATGGAGATACGTCTTACCATTGAAGGAGCGATGGAGGAACGCTTTTAATTAAGCGCCTTTGGTTGAAACCACCATATGAAGCTTTGTCTGTTGTTAGGGAGCACTATTTTGCAGGAAGTGGTCGTTGCGGACTGTTCTGCGCATGTGCGAAGGGCTGATTCACAGTGAGAGGAGCGCATCGCACAGACACAGGTGAGAGTAAAATGCAAACAGCTGTTATTTGAACAGGTGAGCATGCTTTGAATGCGTCCAGTTTTACCTCGGGGTTTGTTTTATCGCATGAAAGCTCGTTTATATCAAACAAATGGTTAAAAAATGGTACAGTAAGTTCAGACTTTATTGATTTAAACTAGCTCAGTCTAAGATTTAAAGTCCAGGTGTCCTTTTCAGCCTTACTGTGCCGTTCAAAGGACTGGACACAATAGTAGCACACAAATACATTAACAATATACGAGCAATAATTCTATTATAATCAGCAAGTATTTTAAAATTTAAGACAATCTTAATGTTGAAAGATTTTTAAAACAGTAGACCAGCCATCTTCTTCCGCTTATCCAGGGCCGGGTCGTAGGGGCAGCAGCCTAAGCAGAGAAGCCCAGACCTTACAGTAGTGTTCTAGATTATCTATTTTCTCATTAAAATGTCTTTATTTTATTTCATGTGTAGTTTTCACCTGCATATTTAAAAAAAAAAAAATCATTTTAAATGTCTTCTCATACCTCAAGTAACTAACTTAACAATAAACTGAATGAAAACCACTGTTCGTTGCCTTAGAGTGGAAATATATATGACTATGCACTGAAGTGTGAGTGAACAGTATAATTGTGTAATGTGATCTGTAGTGAGAGTAGTTAGCAGGTGGAAGAGAGTCTGGAGAGAAGAGGAATGAAAGGAGAGGGAAAGCTCAGGTTGAGAGGTTTGGAGACAAAGTTCGGTTGAGATTGACATGTGCAGAGGAGGGAAAGTGGACACGCTGAACATGGAGCTCCAGGCACCTCAGAGAGGAGGTGGTGGCGACCTCTAAAGGGAGCAGCCGAAAGAAGAAGTCTATTTTTCTCCCATTTCTGGCCATCTGAATCTTTTCTCTTCTTGAGTAAATTATGTCCCTTGTTTAAAAACTGATTAGAAAGCCTGGAAATACTTTTGTCACAATCCTTGTTATTCTCCTTTGGGAAAAGGCTAAAAGGAGTCAGGTGGAAAGGTTAAACTCAACCTGGCCTCTTCCTTAGAGATAGGGTGAGGAGGAGCGGTAGAGGACGGGAGGAGCGGTAAGTGACGGAAGTGACGGGTAAGGTAAGCGACCCATGTTGTAGGTGACGTCAGACGCCGGAGATTTGGCGGAAAAAAAAAAGCGAATGGTAGCATAGAGTTTAACAAAGTTTCCTTAAGCTTCAGTACTGCCAAATAAACTAACCAACTGTCATATAACTAACAACAT